CAAGTTGTGTGTGTATAAACTTAGTTAGGAGATTTAAACAGGAAGTGTGATGATTACATTTGAACAAAAAGGAACTATGTCGAATCATTAGCAGTCTGGAGTTTAACCTCATGAATAATGCAAATACTTAACGCGTCTTCAGGTGTACCCTTCATTAGTAAATCAGTGTGAGAAATCCATTTGTAAAGCAGCAGCGAACACTTTAAGACATACTGAAGGAAATGAATAAAACATACTGACTGCAGTACCGTTCGCGCAGAGGTTTCTGCTTCTCGTTCTTCCGGATTCCTCTCCTCCTCCTCCTCTTCTTCTTCTTCTTCTTCTTCTTCTTCTTCTTCTTCTTCTTCTTCTTCTTCCTTCTCTTCTTCTTCTTTGATACATGTTTAAATTAGAGGAATTAATTCTGGAGTCCTAGTATTGCGTCATTTTTCTCGTTACACCTTGCACTGTTCTCTTTCTCTCACAGATGAGCTGATAGAAAGAGTGGCCGATGCCTTGGACCAGGTGGAAGAAGAAGAAGTCACGTGGGGAGGACAGTTCAGAAAGTAGGTGTAATTATAAACCAATCACAAACATCTTCTCCCTCTGAAGGTGGGAGTTATTGCTATGGTTCTATTCTTCCGCATTTGTCGTATTTTCACAGCACGTAAGCAGGTAAATAAAAGTGGGCGATTGGCTAGCGCTCTGGTGTGGTATGCTTCCTCTTTTCTATCAAACATCTATCCGTATCCCTCCTTCTTTTTTGTGTTTGTTACTCTCGTGTAACACTACTAATCTTCGACACGTATGTTACCTAATTGTGTTGCAAGTGCCATAAGACTCTTACAAACAAGAACAAAACAGGTAGTAGTTAACCAGAGCCCTCGTTTCGGAACTTACTTAACCTACTACGCATATCTTGGGTCTCCACTTTCAGTAGGGCCACATCTAGGTCGAGCTGACGTTACACGAGTCTGGTTGACATTGGAAATAATGTTTTACACCCAGAAGAAGCGTCCAACTTATTTTAATAATAGGCGTTCGAAATTTAATTTCACCGAAACATATCCACTCTTTCTATTAATAAATATGTTGCTACTTCTATGCCTACTTCTCCGTATTCGAGTGATTGACCTCTGGTCACCCTGCTATTTCCACAGTGCAATGACAGTGTCTCCAGAACCCGATGACGACGGTAATGAGGTGGAGCCCAAGTGGTACCATTACGTCATGCACTTCATCTCCTTCTTCTGGAAAATCTTCTGCTCCATAATACCCCCAACGTGAGCCACAGTTTTATTTTTGGTGTTAGTCGCGTTATTTGTGCCTCTCTCTTTCTTTGTTTCCCTCTCTCTTTCTTTGTTCCCCCCCCCTCTCTCT